ATCTGGGTTACACACTCCTTATGAGAATCTAATGCCTGATGATCTGTCACTGTCCCCATCACCCTCAGATGGGACCGTCTAGTTGCAGGAAAACAAGCTCAGGGCTCCCACTGATTCTACATTATAGTGATTTGTATAATAATTTCATTATATATTGTGATGTATTAATAAAAGATATAAAGTGCACAATAAATGTAACGTACTTGAATCATCCTGAAACCACCCCCCACCCCACTTCCGGTCCGTGGAAAAATTATCATCTTTGGAACTGGCCCCTGGTGCCAAAAATATTGGGGACCGCTGTAATATACAATACACATTGTTCTGCACCATTCTTCTTTTCCTTAAAATGTATCATAGAAATAATTTCATATCAGTTCTCCTACTTATACTTTATTCATTTTAATGGCTCCATGGCATTCCACAGTATGAATATAACATACTTTATTTAACCAGTTACCTTTGGTGGATTTTTAGATTAGTCTCAGTCTTTTGCTATCATAAATAATGCTGTAACTATGATCCTTATCCATGTATTGTCAAGCATGTGTGACTATATATATGTCCAGGTCTTCACATTCAAAGTCCTGATTTATTTTTACTAAAACTGGGTTAGCAATGGGGAAAAAATAACCAAGTAGCACAGGAGGCAGGGAAATAATAATAATTGAAAATAGTATTTACTACGTGGTAAGTAATTTATAAGTATACATTTAATTCTTAAAAATCTAGAGGAAGATATTTATTACTATTATTATTGTTGTTGTTATTACTGATTTAAGTGAGAAAGCTAGGATATGAATTCACCCAAGAAGCTTGTCTTGGGATCCCTTGCTCTTGTTTGCTACACTGTACTGTTTCTTGGTGATTCTGTTGTTACTTTGGCAATGAGAGTGCATTTATTGGATACCTATCATATGCTCAGCAGATGACATGTGTTAGTCACAGTCTTCATGATAGCACCATGAGACGTTGTTGTTGTTTAACAGATTCTTAATAAGGTTTAGCAACTTGCCCAAAGTCCCAGAGCTAGTAAGCAAGGAGCTAGGAATGGCCTGGAAGCAGGATGTCTGACTCTTGTGATTAAGGCACGACAGAGAAGGGAGTTTCAGGTATTGCTTCTACATCTAGCAGGCTGGAAGGCAGAAATAAAACTAATATACATATGAGGCTTAATTAAATGTATTGAAGTGGTAAGAGGGATAGGAAGGGCTGTTACAAGGACCAATGGAAGACAGTTGGTGGGGCACAAAAATAAAAGCGTCTGTAGCAGAGAGAGGAGGGCTTAGTGGGTCCGTGTGGATCCAGAATGCACTCTTCTCTATGGAGAATGTTTCCAAATCTAGATTGCTTTGTTCTCACCAACTGCTTCAACTTTTAAAAAAACATTCCACACCTGTACATTGTATTTATACCTTCAACAACCCCTTGTCGTTAGAATGGCAACAATTAGAATGGAACCTGTGGTGCTTGCATGCCCTAGAGAAAAAACAGCCTTAGGTGGCTGCTCTGAGTTGGACTTTGTGGCCACAGGGAGCAGAAATCAGCAAGTGCCCGCATTAGAAAATAAAAGTAAGAGTGCCGAGAAAAGTAAGAGTGCTGAGTTTCTTCAAGGCAATGCCAGTTTCTCCAGGTCAATTTCTCTTATTTTAATCTCTGTTTCCAGCAGTTCTGCCTCTTTGTAGGTATGCCATAAACAGCCATATAAAGGCAAAACTGTACGATCTACAGGTCTAGTAAAATTATAAGTCATGTAGGTCTTATAGAAATTATAATTTTAACTGAAGTCCTCTGTATCTATTGGTTATTTTATTTATTTTATTTTTTTTATTTTTTGAAACGGAGTCTCGCTCTGTCGCCCAGGCTGGAGTGCAGTGGCCGGATCTCAGCTCACTGCAAGCTCCGCCTCCTGGGTTTACGTCATTCTCCTGCCTCAGCCTCCCGAGTAGCTGGGACTACAGGCGCCCGTCACTACGCCCGGCTAATTTTTTGTATTTTTTAGTAGAAACGGGGTTTCACCGTGTTAGCCAGGATGGTCTCGATCTCCTGACCTTCTGATCCGCCCGTCTCGGTCTCCCAAAGTGCTGGGATTACAGCCTTGAGCCACCGCGCCCGGCCTTTTATTGGTTATTATTATTGCTGTTATTATTTTATAAATCAATTTTACTATCTAGACCATATTTCTGTGTTTGGTCTTTTGGGTTTTGAATACTGAGTTTTCCTGTTTCAGAATATCTCATTTAATGCAGTGAAGTTTTGGTAATATTTCATAGAAAAAAAAAGGTGTAACACAAATACGTCAGAATTAATTATTTATATGATGGTTATAATAAAAAAATAATAACCAAGATATATAATTAGTGTTTCCTGTAGGTCAGAAAATATGTAGAGTTTTATGTACATTATCTGGTTTAATATTAAGAACCTATCGGGTAAGTATTACAATTAGTACTGTTGTTCCCATCTTACAGATGGAGTCTTTTTTTCTACATTTTGGGATTAACAATTAGAATGGCAAGAAAGCAAACTTTTGTAAAAGAAGAAAATACTTTCTAATTCTACAAAACATATTTTCTATGTTAACACTTCTCCATCCAGTCTTTCTTCAGGTATACTCAGTAATCAATATATGTACACTTTGTATTCTGCTTTTTAAATTCAGTATAGTCATAAAAACTTGGTTTTATCCATCTTTCATATTACCATATAATGACTGCCTATGATTAATTGCCAAAATTACATCTTGATTTCCTTCTTTGGAGACATTGTTTCCATTCTCTCTTATAGATACTATTGCAATGAAAAAATATTGTATACATAGCATTATTTTATTCTCTGGGAATTTCCTAGGAAAATGTCCCCTCTTCCACTCAAAGAGTAAAGATCTTTCTGACTCATTCTAACTCCCTGAGTCAAAGTCATTTTCATAGGAACAAATAGAGTGAACGTTATTAATGCTTATTTTAAAATCTTAAGAGAAATGTCTACTTTGAACTCTTTAGGAATAAAGTCTTTTCAGTATTTTAAAGATATAATTTTGAATACATATGCGATTAAATATGGGTAATCCATATAAAGCCTAAAGAGTTAATTTTTGCATCATTTAATTTTAAAAGTAAGTGAGTGGGCTGAGGAGGACGATATATGCAAGGTAAGTATTTATTCTTAATCGACATGTATTTCTTGAGAAACTGCTGTGTGCCAGGCTGTACAGCAGTTGCCAAGGCTGTGATAATGGATGGGACAGAAACAGCTTATTTCCAAATAGGGCATCACTGAAAGTCATATCACAGAGTCTTTGTCCTTGACATTGTGCCACAACACACTCTTGTCCTGACATTTCTGATTTCTTTGTTCTTTTGCTTTTATGGAATCTGACTCATTTCTTACTATCAGCCCAAGATACAAAGGATAAAGAGTATCTTACTCTCAGAAAGATATCTGTATCTATATAGATATATAATTTCTAAGAATTTCTGAAATCGTATTTTCTCCCTCCCATGCCGGTTCTGGTGGGACTTTAGAAACCTTTTTGTCTTCCGAGGATGAAAGTATCTTGCTGTGTAGTTTTAGGAATCCCTAAATCATCTCATCCTCATTGTGTATATCTTAGGTTGCATCTAAATACATTTATCAGTTTATCTTTGCAGCACTTTAAGCTAAACAGAGATTTTGGGCCCTCCATGGCAGGAATGTTCTCATGTAAAAATAAAATGTAATTTAGGATATGTATCATGAATTATTAATATAGTGTACCGCAACTGCAGTTTTCACAGGTAGAGATAAAACATTTTGGGTTGTGTTCAGCAGCCAAATATACGCACTTCTTAGGTAAAATCAACTTCAGAATCACATTTTAACTTTTCCCTAAATTTCTCCATCCCAGAAAGACCTACTAATTTATTGATAAATATAACTTTATTACTTTATGATATAAAATTCTCTTTCAAATTCTGCTGTGCAACCTTTTTATTTTGTTGATACGCAAACATGTTGGTGGTAATTCTTTAGTAAAAATCGCATCAAGGTAACAGCTTACCACGTAGATCAAGCCTTTTGCTGCTCCATTGGATGCTTCGCTCTGGAAAACATTGTTATATCATTTTGTGGGAATCTTCTATGCATTACCTAATATATATTGAGATTTCAGTAAATTCATTATGCATATGTTGTGTATATTGATCAATCAGTAGACAGACTTTTTGACGGAAAAATTTGCATTAAAATGTGATGATATCTTCCCCCAGCTTAAATTTGTATGTTATTTTTAGCTGACATGCCTGAATTAGTTTTCTAACGTTATTACATAAAAATATAATTTGAACTTTTTGCAAAGATAAGTTTCAGGATTTGGATTTATAGAGTACTCGTCTTCACGAAAAAGGGATATATGGAGATAATTTCATAATGTCAGAATACTGATTCCACAGGTGGACTTGGGCTACCTTGCTGTAAAGCTGGCTCTGCTGGGTAACAGCTGACTCATAGGCATCACCAACACAGCACAGAGGTAGAGAAGAAAATATTAATACAAGGGCATCTGAAAAAGGAGCTGTGATCAATTTCCTAAAACTTTCCTTAAATTTCTAATGTCCTGTAGCCTTAACATTGGGATTGAAATCCTCCCTGTTGCAACTTAGCACATATCCTACTGTCTGAACTCAAAACCCTAGGAACTACTGTCTGAGATCTGAATGTATTCTTGGTTCCAAATCAATCTTGTCACTCCTCGGAAAGCAATGCAAGATAATAAGTAGTATTCACCTGATTGCTTTCCTGCTCTGAGACAGCTGGTGACGTGTGTCTTCCTGATAACCAGGAGTTTCAGATCTAAGGCAGGGATAAAGGGAAACTGGAAGCTCTCGGAATCTAAATGTGACAGTCGATGGCTGAGGAGAGGGTCAGAAGGAATAGAATCTGTGACACGTATGAGAAAGGAACAAAATTTATCTGCTCTGGTTGCAATGATTAGATGTCTCTTTGTCTGGCTTTCCTTGCAGTGGGTGACTGATCGTACCCGCCGGCTGGCTAATGTCATAATTAACAAAGTTGCTACTACATCTGCAAAGTTTAATCGAAAAATTTGCCAGTGATATGATGGCATTGTCACAGAGATCACAAGGGACACGTAGTCGACTTTTGCTCAAGATGGAACGACAGAGCTGTGTAGGCAAGATGAGAAATTGCAAACTTGTTCGGCCAAAGGTATGTTTCTTTCATAATTCCACATCCTAGGTTTTCTTATTAAGATTTTTGTTTGATGGTTCATGGGTTCTTTTTTTGTTTCTTGACCGAAATGATTCAGAAAAAGATCCATATGCTTTTCGGGCATTTGTAACATATTCTCTGAAAGCTTTTTTTTTTTCCCTAAATCTGTAAATTCATAATATAGCTAAACAGATTTTGATGATGAAAATGGAATATAAAGCAATATTTTCCCTGTTGGGTGTAGCTAATCTTTATCAGTTTTCAGAATAAGTATTTGGTAACAAATATCAGTGGGACATTTATATTGTATAACATTGGATTTATTTTGCTCGACAATGTAAAAGCCGTTGCTCTGCTTTATTCTATTGTGTCAACCTAGTTCTAGGAAAGAAGAAAAAGCAAAGTGTAGTTATAGAATATGTAGAGGTTCTATTTTAGTTTCAAGGCATGCTCAAAGGAAAGCTAAGGTCTTGACTTAAGTCGCACAATGTAATTGGGGCTTTTTGAAACAACATTTATGAAGACGACTATCTCTTGAAATTATGTGCTATTCTCCAGGGCCAGTCTGGTCAGACTATTTACGTGTATTTACTTTTTACTGTGATTTGCTTTGCTTGATTGAATATTCAAGATTTGAGGAGTTTCCCAAACGACAGCCTTCCTGTATTGCTAATTAATTAGTGTGAATATTGATGAGGAACGGCATGCACCTCTGTGTATGTGGCTGTGCACTTAATCTAAGTACAGAGAGGGAGGAAGAGGTCTCAAAAAATATGCAGAAGGCAAGTTTGGGTTATTTATGCTGTGTCACACCACCGTTACAATATCTAGGCAATTAATTTGCAATATAATTGGGGACATATATTAAGGTTCTTTCCCTCCACGGTCATCTGGGTCACTATATCATGGCAAAATGCAATAATTTGTCTTTTGCCCATTACTATTGTCTTTTGTGTTAATAGCAGTTTTTAAACATCATGAAATAACATTTTGGAAACAAATTTTGCACAGCATGTATATTTTAATAAGCTCATTGAAACTTTCTCATGATTTTATTTCTAATGATGGGAGACTAGACGTTATCAATATATTTATTTTAAAATTTGCGGTCACATTTTATGTTCTCAAATAAAAAATGAATCATTTTATGGGATTATGAATTTTAAAGCCTTTGAATGTCCAGATAATTTTAAACACTGTTTATCAAAATTTTGGTGGAAATTTGACTTAACAGATTTGATGGAAATTGACTTAACCGAAATTTAATGACATCGGTAAGAAAAACTGAAAGTGGAGATTTAAATCATTATTTTATTAACTTCGGGACACCATTTTTACAGGAGAGTGTTATTCTAGTAATAACTATCTTTTTGTTTGTCTTTTGTTTCCTTAACTTTGATTCCCCACCCTAGCCCAATGTCTGGCACATAATAGACATTCAGTAGGTATTTATCGAGTGAATGAATTAATGAATTTAAGTATTTCCTCTGTTATTCAAAGCTGGTTAACATTTGCTTCCTCCAAATCAATAAGTTTTGTATGCAGTAAACATTGTGAATAGAAATAAGTAGATGAATGGCACAATCACAGACAATAGGGAGGATTCAGTGCCTAAGATAATATTTTGTTATTTTAACCTAAACCACCATAATATTTTGTGTACTTGAGATTTGGTATTGTCAGAACTCTGTTGGAGTATTGAAGGTCTATGAGGATTAGATAGTGCCCAGGAAGTCGTTCACAGTTGATGTCCCGTTTTTAGTTTTTTGTTTTTTTTTTTTTTTTTAAACAGGATTATCTCCAGAGATGTGTAGAAATGAACTCTCATCAGAGTTTCAAAGGAATTAATGTTTTTTGGTAAAATGTGCTAATGTAAAGAGTTAGAAGATTAGTGATACATAATGAAAGCAATGCATTCTTTCGCATGGAAATGGGAATATATAAATGTCCTGCAGGTGATTGGCGTTGTAGCAATTTTATTGAAGATTAAAGTTTGATTGACCTTTGTTAGGGTGATTAACCCTTCTGAAATTAAAAGCCAGAGCTGAATTATCCTGCTCAATTTAAATGCAAACATTGAGCAGGTCGTATGTCATTCAAATAATAATAAGAAGAAAATCTTCCTATTTTAATTTTCATTTTTGCACTTCTGATTGGTATGCTGCTTTAGAGGGACCATAGCTCTCGCAAAAACATTCTGGTGGCAGAGAATATAGAATAACATTACAGATAATTGGGAACATACAGAGAGAGTCCCAAGCACTACTGCCTGCATTCAAAACATGAAAACCACCATCCCAACAAAAGCAGGGAGCATGAAGCCAATCTATGCACACTGAAAATGTATGGTCCCAATAGAAAAACAACCTAGGGATGTCCTGAAGGAGTTAGGAATAAATAACAATGACATCTCTATTCTAGTTCAGTGCCAACCACTGAAATTGCATATCATATCCATGTTAAATCTACAAGATGTCTCCTGAAAATGCGTGCTTTTTGGTACAGTTGCTTATGAAGCAATTTCTAAAAGTTGATTATGTCTGATGTCTGGAATTTCATTCTCCATGATCTCTGATACTTTCTGAATATATTCAGTGTTTTCATTAAGTCCAAAATGCTGTAGGAGAAGCTAACTAATTATTTGCAATGCCATTTAATGGTTTAGTTTTATTTTTCTTTGTTAAATTTTCTGAGCCTTGGTGAAAAGTTGTGTATTCACATTGCTTCAAAAACTGTTTCCATTTTTCATATCATATTAATTTGTTTAGTTCTAAGTCAGTGAATATTTTTCGTTTTAGGTCCCATCACATAGTGAATGCATCTTCCTTTTATGTGTCTGTGAACTATTAAAATGATAATAAAGGCTCTTTTCCTTCCATATGTAATTTATTTCTCTCTTTTCATCAAAGAATTCACTCTGAATCTGTCAAGGTAGAAAAGTCCAAGGCATTATAGTGTAAAAATTAAGAAGCCTGGAGGTGCTATTTTATTTTTGCACAAGCTTTTCATGTATTCTTTTAACATCCTTCTGAAAGATAGGCTACTACTCCAAGCCTGTGAAGAAAGTCAAAGATGAAAAACTTGTGATAGAGTGACTGAGATTATTCAGCTGGCAAAGTCACTCCGGCATCCTCCAGAGAGTTGGATAATACGTTGAAGCATAGATTAATAATATGTTTAACTAAGATCTGTTTGCTGTAAGGATAATTTCCTAATTCTTAATTGTGGGACAAGTGTTCAACCATAAATTGTAAACAAATATGTTGTTCTGTACCTTGTCTGATAAAGTATAGATTATCAACTTTAGCTTCGGTACATTCCATTGTCAAACTTTAAAAAATTCAATTGTTTCATGATAATACTTGTTTTCTTATTAAAGATAATTTTAACTAAAAGATAAACATGACCACTACATTATATCTCTAAAATAAGCAATATTAATTCTTCAGGCATAATTTAATTATCTTCTCTAATTTAATCTTGTTTTACCTCTTAACAGAACTAAATGAAAATAATCTTCAGTATTAAAATTTGTTATAAATACAACATTCTCTGAAGTACAAAAAGCTAATGTGCTGAACTACAGATAACATCCTTCTCTACGTTGTCATTAATTATTAGCAGTCTTTTTATTAAAGAAAATTATTGGTTTGGAAGGTGAAATTCATATTGTCTCAGTGTAGAAAAAAAGTATTAGTGAAAGAGCAAAGGAAAATAAGATTATACTTTGCTAAATCCCAGATCCAATAATTTATTTTGCTTCAGTGTACTTCGAAGACATTTTATTTCTTTATGTTGCCTTTGTTTTCTATCAAGATTGGTTTCCACCTAATCCACCCAGTCCCAGCCCTGACATTTTCTCTTACAGTTGTGAAATAACATTCTTTGCTATGAATAAGCCAAGATTAATCCATTTGATATTTTATAGACTGCATATTTTAGCTGGAGTGTTTCTGTTTAAAAAGCAGACTGTTTTAAAAAGTATCCAATGCTGTTGTTTTATTTGTTGTGCATTGTTTCTGAGTCAGCAATTTAGTTGAATTTTATTGAAATTTAGAGTAGATGTACTATAAGCGATTTTATTCTGCTGGACTAAGGAGAGATGGCAAGTGGCAGACTCAAGGATTTCCTAAGTTTTTTAAAAAAAATTATTCATAGTTAAAAAGTAGTCACATATAAATTTTTCGAGATTATCCTCTTTAACAGACAATAATTCTAAAACAAAATTATTTGGTTAATAATGGTCAATGGAATTACTTCTTGTAATTTGTTTAATAAAATCATAAAAAATGCTCTAGAAACAATAAGTGTCCCAGTGTTAACTTTCCAACTTAATTAGGAAGACTAGTTTTCTAGGACTAGTTTTCAAATGAGTTGGAAGGTGACCTAATATAGCGTAGTGGTCTGTGGCCTATTTGATACAATTTATGCTATTTGTATTAAAATTATCATACTATCTCTGTACATTACTTTGGAATCAGAGAACTTCGTAAAAAGATACTTTTAACTCAAATGCCTTCAGCATTAGCATTTCTGGAGCCATCATTGACTAATCTGTATTCAGTTTTAGCAAGCCTTTATTAAGCACCTACTATGTTTCAGGTACTCCTCTCAATCCGGTGAGGTGAGCCTATGAGCCATGTTGTATAAACAAGAAACTCACACTCAGACTGGCGAAGGTTTTACCTGAAGTCAGATAGCTAGTCAGTGGCACGGCCTGGTTTGGAAGCTGCTGAAGCCTTTCCTTCACCAAAGCTGTCTTTGGGATAATCATGGCATTCCACTTCGCTAAAACTTGGAGACTGTGAGAACAGGATTCTTGCAAGACGAATTTAAACCATTTCTGCAGAAAAAGGAATTTACTAAAACTCAGGAACTATGATGAGATAATTAATTCTGTACCGATTCACTCTAGAGGAAGTAAGAGAAGAAGGGGTTTACAGTGTTTTGAGTAACAACACACTGGGTCACCCATGCAATGAACATTACTCAGTGGG